ACTTGAAAATTCCATGCTCGTAGAAAGTCTGATCCTTTTCGGCCAAAAACTGAGTTAAGTGAGATTTTACAGCGTCATCATCATTAAAAGTTTTACCACGAAGGGAGTTGTCCAGGGATCGAAATAAGTGGTAATCCGCTGGCGCGAGATCAGGGTTATATAGTGGGTGTAACATCAATTCCCAACCAATATCCATCAATTTTTGCCGAGTGGACAAAGACGTGTGCGGCCTAGCATTGTCCTGGTGGAAAATGACACCTTTACAATTGACCAATTCTGGTCGCTTTTCCTTGACCACTGCATTCAATTTGTCCAGTTGCTAACATTCACGGATAATAAAAAATAACATAATAATAATAATAATAATAATAATAATAATAATAATAACAATAATAATAATTTTATAATATAACATTTACGGATATCATAAAAATGGGAGTGAGAGACATCTATAATTGAAATCGGCAATTACTTAGTTGCCAACCCAATAGATACGTTAGTTTTTCTATAAGTTTTGTCGAAACATGTGAACATTGAAATTGGTTGTCAGAAACTTGACGTTCAGATATCAATTTTACTAGTCTGGATCAGGATGGACCCTGAGTCCGCCGTTCGAATGTTAAAATAGCTACAGACGTATGTTGGGAATTTTTCAAAATATTGATTTTGATAGCTATGCCGGCACTTGAAGACGAAAAATCATGTTTACTAAGAAAAAGAAATGCATAAAATTGTTTATAATTTCTGTTCAAGCTGATATTATGTTAATTCTATTTTGAAGAATTTGGTTGCAGTATAACAAAGTTTACGACACTTACGCTGCAAATTCCGAAGAAATACATATTGCCAGTACGTATGTACATAGATTGCTGTACTGCCACTGTTTCGCAAAGATGAAAAGATGAATAGCAAAAAAAAAGTGTTTTTGTATTCCTCAAACCGTGAATAAGAAAGTCCTGTAAGTGAATTCCTCTCATTTACGTATTTATCCACGCGTAGTAAATACTTAAAGAAGCGCTCAGCTTTTGTGTCGCTAAGGTGACGTTAGCATTTAGCACTTTGACTTTTTAATTTTAGTGCATTTTGCAGATTCTAGCCTTTAGTATGCTGACTACATTAGCGACAAAATTTCGTTTTTTGAATCCGAACAAATATTTCTGACTTTTGTTCCTGGGAGACGAGGCACTCGAAATTACTCAAAAAGGCACTCAAAACTTACGAAATGTTTCAACTTTTGTAGGAAATAATTAAGTTTTTAATAGAAATTATTAAAATATTGTCTAATATTGTTAATTGCTAAATGGTTTTCTGAGTTTAATTGGCGTGATTATTATCACCGATTATTTGCAATTTAAGTATCCTTTAAGTATTTAATCGCCGTGACCCCTACATGAACCATAATACTGTGAATATGATCAGATTGAATTACTATCATTGAATGAGATTATCATTCTACGTGTAACTTACACATTGTGTTTTATGTACAGTACAACGTAAATGTATTTGTATTTAGTTTTACAAAATACGACTATATTTACGTTGTACTGTGCATAAAACACAACGTGTACATTTCTATGATAGGAATCATTCGTTCGATATAAATCGGTAATGGTAGTAGATATCGATTTTATCGACGCCGTGTCATTACCAAACTGCGGATTTGTATGCAAAATAAAAATTGTCTGTATCAATTGCAAGGATTGGAAACCATAAAGCAACTTCATTCTTTTTTTAACCCTTCGATTACTGAATCGCGGCTTCCTATGCTGGAGTCATTTCTGTCTCACACTGACATTCTTCCAATATACACATTTGCGGTCCCTAATCGTCTTAACAGATTAAAAATAATACAATGACGTTTTATAATGCTTTCAATTTGTATACTATTTTAAATTTCAACTACCTAAGTTTACCATAAATGCGTAAAATCCGCAGTCTAGTTATTACAAATTGATGTAGAACTCTATTATGAAAATGATTTAAAAACGCTTTTGTTTTATTGTTTTTTGTATCGTAATGGTCAAGCTTAAAACTCTGAAGTAGTGCAGAAAAGAACGATTTCTTGCATTTATTTATTTTTTATTAAAAAATTGAAAATTCCGTTATCTTTCTCGTTTCTCATTTTGTATCCTTTTTCATCTAATTCCTAGGACGCGTCTGCATAACAAATAAAATTAGTTTTTGTTTTCATATCGAAAAATCAAAATCACGGCCGCGGTTAGAGGGTTGACAAGGAAAACATGAAAATGTTTGTTTCCAATACGTCAAGTAAAAAATCCTAATGGTCCGGTGTGAAATTTTAGTTACATTTATAGAAAACTTACAGTCAAACTTTTAACGCCCTTCAAATTGTATAATTTCACACCGGTATAAATTAAGAAAAAGAAAAGACAATTAAAATTACAAACTGTATTGTATTTTCTAAATAAACCATGTAGTTTTTGAAACATTTATAAACATTCACTATCTTTTCATCGGTATAACTTTTAACTTTTGAGTTAAAAGCGCGATTCCTTGTTGCAAATATTACACTCTAATAGAACAACATTTAAGCAAAACACATGCTATTCTTTATATTTCGCTGATCACCAAATAAAATTCTACAACGTAGGATTCTCTCTAAAACGAACTCTTATCAATTCATTTATCTAACCGTAATTCAACTTTTTCCATAAAAACTAATCTTTTCGACTGAAACGGCAATTCCGGAGCGTCATTTAAAATTGCCGTGCCATAAATAGAAAAAGCCTTCGCATTATTAAATCGATTTGTACTTAAAAAGTCACTAAAAATTTCAATGCGATATGAATAAATGCAGTGAATTCGATTCATTCGATTTTAACAAGTTGCCGAACCGTTTGAATTTCTCGGTTTCGGAATCGAAATAGCTTCAAGTGCACACAGGGTCGAACCTTCGTGACGCAACGCGCGCATATCGCAGCGATACGAGCATCGAAAAATAATTCTCAGATTACCATTACGCAGGTGACATAAGCCTCGCGCTAAGCCCCACGTTTGTTGCGGCAGCTACGCTTGCAATATTTGCAAACGGAATTCAACAGGCGGCTGCGACATTTTGTATCAGCGGGATTATTAGCTTTAAAATGACTTTCACGCTATTGCAAACTGGCAGCGCGTACCTCGATTGCGAAATGCCTTAGAAACGCGCGTTTCAAGGACTACGGCAGCAACTCGAACGAATCTAAATCTCCTACCGTCGCGGTTCTATTACCCGTTGAAAACCGTCAATGGAATCGCTTCGCCGACACCAATCGTCCGCCAACGATAACAACAACAACAACAACAACAACCGCAGACGTCGTCGCTTTCGATTATTCCGTCCGACGCTAAAAAGTCCACGTGACAAGGTTAAGAGTAACGCACGTTAAATACATCCGCCATCTTGCCACTCCGTGTCTCTTATTAGCCGTCGCGAGTGTTGTTTTCGTGGACCGAACAATAGCATCTTTCACGGCAGCCACCGTGCCACCGCCGCGGTCTCCCCGACACGCGAACGTTCATCTCGATCCACGGCAACGATACGAGACCCAGAAAACGTTCGCAGTACCCGTGAAATCATCGGTTGCGTTCGGTCCGTCGAAACGAAAGCGGGCAGCTGAAACTCGTTCCGTCGAGACGCGGCTGCCAAGAGAAGACAAATAGAAGCCCGTAAAAAGCCTGTATCGAGATCCGAACGGTCCAAGGCCGATATTCCCGGCGTAACAAAAAAGAAATCCGAAATCCGAACGATAGTCTCCGCGCGGTCTGGAAAAATACATTAAACGCGGTAGCGTTTCGCAGCCGATCGATCGGCGGATCGGGACGAGTTATCGCTTACGGTTTCCAAGCCGAAACCCCAATAATACATGGAAGCCGTTCCCGTTTGTCAGCCGCGTGCGTTCCACGAACGTGAACTGGTTATCTCGAGCCGAGCACACCTGCCAACATGGCTTCCGCGGACCCAGCGGTCACGGCTAGTCCCAGCGGCCATGTTGGAATCGCGAATGCCCAAACGCAGGAATGCAACAAACGTGGACCCGCTTGCCGCACGGATTCCCGATCGAGCCGAGCCGGATCGGGAAGTGTCTGGATCGGCGTCGGCATCCCGGTATCGGCGCCGCACGCCGGGAAAATGCTCACCAGGTGCAGATCGGCCGTGAACGCTTCCGGAACACGCGTTTACTCTGCGCCGATGGTCCGCGGTCGCATCTCCGGCCGAGATTCCCGATCTTGAGGAGATTCAGCGGTCGCTGGCGGAAGCATTCGTGGCGACACCAGGATCGGCTACATCGAGTCGCCGAGCTCGCCACCAGGACCCGTCTCGCCGTTGCTGCTCGATCGCGACGAATCCAACCGCGAGCACCCACGTAAGCACACATACACGGATCCCACACTAGCGACACTGATCCGAACGCACTGCGGGCTGCTCGGGCACACGATTTTCGGAACGGAACCGCGCCGAGTCGCTCTCGCCTATCGTCGCACACCGATTCACGATTTCTCTCCGGCGGCGTTCCGACGCGGTTTTCCCGTATACCGGTGGAAATCGCGGCGTAGGAAACGGCGCAGGGAAAATGGGAAACCCGTCGAGAATCGGAGAAGGCGCGCACGTCCCTTCTTTCCGGACCGTGGATACGAAAGAGCGCGCGGTTTACTGCGTGTTGGACGCCGCCAGGTAGGCTACCTCGACGCACACCCACGCAGCCGAGGCACACGCATGGTCTACACGCATGCGGGCACACAGGTAACCGGCCACGACTTGCCTGGGAGTCTTTCCGTTCGGCTGCCGCTAGTAGCGCTGCTGCTGGATGCTGTGCGCCGACTGCCTCGCTCCTGGCCGCCGGTGCGACAAAGTCCGATGGAACCGACCAATGGGAGTCCAACCGAGACGCAGGAGAACTTGGAGCAGGCGGTAGGGATGGGATCGAACACCTCGCGTTTTACCTGCTCGAGGAACAAACCTGCTTTTGTTGGAAAGCGCGCGGGGTCCCTCCGATACCGTCGCGGTCTTATCCTTATCTTTCGAACGGTTACCGTCGTGCTGCCGCACAGCGATCCGAATCGCCGAAAACACGAACTAAAATCGAGGTTCCAACTTCGAAGGGAATTTAGAGAATTTTAACCACAGATTCTTATATCCGTGGACCGAGTTTTGCCAGGCAAGAGCCTGTTGCTATGAGTTCATTCAACATTTTTTTAAGAGACCTTTGAGAGAAGCAGGAAGAACACCAGTTCTAGAATGATTACGCGTTATCTTCTGAAATTGCATAATTTGCGTCATTATATTTTTACAGCGATAGGAATTTGGGTATAACGAACTATACGATGTTAATTAGTGTTATTTCAGATACAAGAATATGTATGATCGTTTTGGAATGTACACCTGCGTTGGTATTTAAGTTGACGCTTACACTTTTTGAGTAATTTAAGGTAAACAATTTTTAATAAATATAAAAAACATTTATTACGTAGTCACAATATTAACAGAGGCGATACATAATGAATAAACATAAGCAACAAATAAAATAAAGTGAAAAATAATGAATTTTTGTATTTTGTCATAACGGGAATTAAGTTGACGATGAATATTTCTATGAGATACAACGCAAAAAATAATAAATTTTAAATTAATTAATAAGAGGTTTGATAAACTTTGGCTTTAAATAATCTCTAATAAGAGACGTGGCATGCTGTCTATTAGTTTTTCCAAAATATTTGCAATAATATATTTTCATAAATAATTTCATTCCATTTGCTTTTAATGGCTGTAAGGAAGTCCGATTTTCAATATCTTTGATTTCGTGGATTTTGTAGCTCTAGCTCATCCCATAGCGTTTTTTTTTTTTAAATTTTTAACTATTTTTGCTGTGTGTTTCGGATCGATATTATGTTGAAACGCGCAGGACCTGTGGACTCCAAATTTTTCAATTGACCGAAATAAATTTTCATTTAACAATTCAATATAATTACTATAGCAGTCAATCTTCCATCAATAGTAGTTAAATTGCCTACTTGGTTGTAGTTACACAATCCCATATTCTCACTACCGCGTTTGACACCTTTTTTTCTCCATACATATTTTTTCCCTTTGTTTGAATTCAGTTCGAATTTCGATTTATCGCTCCAAATTATCGATCTTCAAAATTAAATCGGCTTATTGCAATGTTCTTTAACAAAATTTAGATATTTTAGCGCATTCACTTTTGAAATGTATGATCTTTTTCTAGATGTCCATTCATAAATATCGCTTTCACGAATGCGAGATTCGATTTGCGTGATCGATATTGGTAGACAAAAATTTTTTTTATTTATTATGCAGTAATGAACGGATTTTTGTTTAATTCTTTACTAATTAACCGATTTTCGAGAGCAGTTGTTTCCTTTTTTCTTTCTTTCTGGTTTTGTAATTTTGGCATATCTTCGTAACACCTTCTTCAGATATTTCAAATTAATGTGCAATTTGTTGCAAACTTTTTCCTTTCATTCTTTTTTTTTATAAACTACCCTGACGGATACTTGTAGCTCTCTAGTTTTCGGACTACTACAAATAAGAGGTACTCGTTGTCATAAAAGAAATGTGTGAAAATATCCTACAAATGATTAGATCACTAATAAAATTAAAAAATAATTAAAACATGTTGATATTTTATTTGTAAAATAAAAGTTTTATTATTATTTACTTATTATTATTTCATCAGGCTCATATTTGACAAAAAATTTTTCAACGTATTGGGTTGGCGATTTCAGTTATAGATGTCTCTCACTCTCATTTTTATGATATCCGTAAATGTTATATTATAAAATTATCATTATTATTATTATTATTATTATGTTATTTTTTATTATTCGTGAATGTTAACAACTGTACAAATTGAATGCAGCGGTCAAGGAAAAGGGACCAGAATTGGTCAATCGTAAAGGTGTCATTTTCCACCAGGACAATCCTAGGCCGCACACGTCTTTGTCCACTCGGCAAAAATTGATGGATATTGGTTGGGAATTGATGTTACACCCACCATATAGCTCTGATCTCGCGCCATCGGATTACCACTTATTTCGATCCCTGGACAACTCCTTTCGTGGTAAAACTTTTAATGATGATGACGCTGTAAAATCTCACTTAACTCA